ACTCAATTTCAGTGGCAATGGTTACCTTTATCGATAAACGCGTGAGGCCTAAATATCACCTTTTTGTACGTCTTTTTCTTCCCCGCTAAACAAGAAGACAATACTCTCTAAAGATTATCTCGTATATTGAAAGCCGAACAGCTGGCATCAATCGTTTAACAACGAAATAACGGGAGAGCAAAAATGTACATTTCATGAAAGGTCGAACAGTCCTGTTAATAAACTATTTATACTTTCAAGTACTCTACCTTAAAATGCGCTAGAATTTAGAAGCGTAAGGTCCATTAGAAAAGAATCATATTTTTTTTTGTGCTAGAACAAAAATTTATCTGTCTTTATATTTATTTGTTTCATATTTGGGCAAAAAGTTTCAGATAAACTTTACTTGTTTTAAAAACCTTCCTCTAACGTCAAAATGATGAACAGAATCTTTGTACTGACTCTGATGTTGGCTGTTGCTTCTGTGATGATCCTCAGCGTAGAGGCTGGTGAGTACAAGAGAGCGATACCAAAACGTTCATATTCAAACATTGTGCCTTCGTTGGGAAAACCAGCCAGAAAAAATTAGTATTAGTTAACTTGGATTATGAGGCCGCACGTCATAATACCATGTATATAGCAATAGGCATTTCCTAAAATTTAGGTACTCCCATTGTATGTGCACCAAGATGGCGGACACCGAAACGTACTGTGTGTACCAGGTTAATGTTAGGCCATGAATTTAATCCAATTTTCCTTATTTTAGTTCTATTACAATTGGTTCATATACTACGTGAGTACCAAAATTTAACCTAATTCTATTCGGTTACTTTCAGATTGCGATCCGGCGTGTGTGCATCCTCAGTTTTGCAACTTGGCGAATGAATGTGTAGATCACACTCGGTCACGCTAAACCGTGTGTAAACGGTCGAGTACACGGTAACGCAAATTGCTGAGTAAGAGCAGTCTATGTAATTTCGTCACTGTTATTGCCCGACTCTATTTTGGGTGTAATATAATAATATGTAAATCTTATGCTTTTACGATATCGGTATTTTTCGGAATTATAAATGACTGAAGAAATTTCACAAAGGTTTCCTTTTTAATATCGAGAGTCAACGTATAAAGGAAGCCTATAGAAACTGATTCACTATCATTCTCAGAGTTGAAAATAAATACGGCGCTGGTATATCTTCATGAGAAAGCTGTCATCTTGCCTTGAAAAAATGATCGAAAATAAATTACTCGAAATAATATCGCTTAAATATTGCATTATTTCTTGAAATTTAGGAATTTTAATAACATCATTTCCTGGGCCCGGATGAGGAAAATGAGTTGAAATCTTGCGATGAGTTTCCATGACCATGGATCTTGATGATCATACTACCAACTAAACATTTTTTTTTCTTCCCTTTACAAAAAATAAACTTTCTTTTATCGAAAGCTAGTCGTACTTATACTTTATGTCTCCTTTCATTTTTATTTTCAGGACCGGCAACATTATTCTTGAACATTATTCAGCACCACGTACCAGATATATCATCGGACATTATAATCATCTACATATTAAAGTGCTTTTAAACGGAATATCATGAATAAATGCAAATCATAGATTCACAGGTTTTTATTTTTTCATATTGGGATGGACTTCTAGGACATTCTCAGAAAGAAGAAAAAAGCGCAAAGAAATGCTATTGACGAAATAGGAAGTAAAGTAATAGATTGTCTGACCTGAGCACCTAGAACGCTTGAGCGGGAGGATTGTTCAACTCGTCTCGCGCCGTTGTTTACGTATTCGCTATCGGTTCGGTAGAAGAGGCGTCTCACAGTGTAACCTTTAAAAATACAGCTTCCAGTGGACTTCTTGGTAAACTGCAGCTAAGGTCAGGCGGCCATAAAACTCGTTTTACATTCCCGAAATCTATAAATATTTCAAAATTTTCCAGCACCCCATCGTAGAAAGTTTTCCAGTTCTCGTCACGACTAATCCATTCCAAAATCTTCTTTGAATTAAATATAAACCACCGTAAGGTACCGTAAATGGACAGATCCCTTATAAAGCAACCCGCAGAACGACACCTTGTCGAAAAGTATCATCTGCATTATGTGATTGCATTTACGGGAATAAACCACCGTATATTTAAGCAGACACAAGACTTAATTATGTAAGAAAGCACGCCCCTTTGGTATATGTGTTCATAGTCTCTGGATATTTTGATTCTTCCAGATTTCAGAAGGTAGAATTCGAGAAATTCGTGCCAGACGTTGAAAATCATCACAATTATAAACATCGTTTTGCTCTCACTCTGCTCCTCAAGTTCTCCCAGACGGTCGAGCACAAACAAACAATGTTTTGAAACGAGTGCTGTCCACGACCTGAGGCTCGATTGCAGCCAGTTGCAGCATTTTATAATCGTATTTTTCATATACTTGCCACACGCCTATCAAGCAATTATTGAAATACCTGAACTGACGATCAGGATTCCGCAAAGGAAGTGAACGCCATTAGACGTATTCTGACATCACAGTTACATACCAAGACACCATTATGATTTCACAACCTCCTGGGACCTGGTAAATACTTATTTATCAACCCGGTGTTGCCTTGATTATATTTTGTCTTAGCGGTTAGGATAAGCAGATTCTTAAGACCAGCAAATCAGCTGCGTTTTATTTCTGTTCTGGAGCAATCTGGTATTATAATGGCTGGGAAGAGTAATGTATTTAGGGCAAACCCGAGCGGAGCCTGGCATTTGCAAGACATATCTGCTGTCCACCAGAAATGCAGTAACGTTATTCAGCTTTGTGTAATTGTATTTACGGGAATAAGCCATGGTATATCCAAGCAGACAGACGGCTTATATTAAAAAGCATTCACCTCTGGTATAACTGTTTATAGTCTTCAGGCTTTCTGATTTCGGAAGTTAGAATCCAAGAAATTCGTGCCAGACGTTGAAAATCGCATTGTTTGCATCGACAGTCTGGTATTGAGTTACTGAAAACAGTCGAGTCGAGCCCTCCAACGACAAAAGTTGTCAAATGGAAGTTCGCGGTCGTCTCCACATTGATTCCTTTTTTACCTTACATGATGTGTTTTGCTGTCACGTTCGGATTTTTATTCACGTTAAAAATGGCTAAAGTAAATAGTTGAAGCAGAAGGCCCAATTCAGGCATGTTGCCGAACGGGCTTGATAGCCCCGGAAATTGAATTGCGAGAGTCTAGTAAAATGCTTGGGGCGATTTAAGATGCGCAAAACCTCAGGCGGGTCGTTTTTCGTTGGAAAAGTTCTTGTCATCGCACCGCTATCGAATTCTGTGATTTTTAAACATTTGGCAAAATCAATTGATTCAGGGTTGTCAGTGTTATACGCTATTCGGCAGCGACGGCTAATTTGGTTCCGCGTGAGATATGATTGCAGGGTAGAACGACTATCCTTCGCTGGTCAGTGGCAATTTTCTTCACCAACTAACCTAGACAGCTAGAAGCCATATGTTACCTCGGGGGCTCCCAAACTGCAGTACATATACCCCGGCGGGCGGTGTGGCTCAACGGGCTAAGCGTTAGGAATACGCTCGCCACCGCACCTCTAATTACTCTGCGTGGGTTCGCAGGTTCGAATCCCATGCAGGGGTGGTTATGTGCGAGAGGATTGCTGGACTCCTCGCCGTCGTTGGGTGGTTCACGTAACCGCTGGTCGGTTACGGCTTCCTCCACCACCAAGTCCATGCTTCCGAAAACAAACAATACAGTAAAAAACTAATCCCATACCCGACGTGGAATGGTAACCGGACGAGAGGCCGTGGTTCGCCATATGGATAAGCCGTCTTATCGGCTTTCCTCTCCCCCGGGATAAATATGTAAATCCTATCCCTATCCCTATCCCAAGTGTACATTTCGACTTCTCGGTGGGTAGCATTAACTGCCTGTCCAGAGTGAGAGGGTGTGAAATTAAAAACAAATTTTACCTGAACTTCTGCATCCAATGTGTTTGCAATAATATAAATACTTATCAAATATCTTTTCATTGGTTTTAAAAATGGTATAGCATAATTTTTCATGTAAAATGAGTTGCCCATGTATCTACTAACTTTTGAGAAAGTCTGAAATGAAACAAATCACCCAGACACCAAGAGGGCTTAGAAAATGTCCAAATGAGTTTGTTTCTAGACTAAAATTATCGTGTCAATACTCTGGATTAAACAAAGAGGGCCACAAAAAAGCCACACCATTCATACTTGCACATACTGCCCAACCTGCCCATTTGTAATAAAAACTCTCCATTCAATTATGGCACATCTATTTGAAAAACACAGGCAAAAAGGTGAAATATATTCAAATTAGGCCTAAAATGTTGCTTCAAACAATAAAAGAGCACCAACACAAACAATTTCTTGAATAAACCGGTGCACATGACTTTAAATAATTATCATATAAATTAAGCTTAGCAATAAATTATGATAGAACAATGGAAGAAAGAACATTGTAAATGAGGATTATTATCCTGTTACCACATACCTACTTTACCCCACACCAGGTCAGGTATGGAAATAGAACGTGAAATTCGGTACAGATGGATGTGTGAGCAACAGGAATCAAATTTCATTTTAAAAACTAAAAGGAATAATTGCATATACAAAATGGTTTTAGTTTCATTCAACGAGTCCAAACTAGTGTTCGTATTATAAAGTGGTTTAAGAGAGAACAGCTTTAAGAACTATAACTACATTACAGCTTTTGACTTTGACTACACAAATTTCGGTACTCCTGAAGTATGCGTACCAAGATGGCGGACACCGGAACATAATATGTGTACCAGGTAAGGGTTAGGTCATAATTTTATTCCAATTTTCCTTATTTTAGTTCTACTAAGAGTTCGGGGACTAGCCGAATAACTCCGGTAGTATTTGTACCTAAAATTATGGCCTAACCCTAACTTGGTACACATGCTACGTTCCGGTGTCCGCCATCTTGGGACGCTTACTTCAGGAGCCCCCAAATTGCAATTTTATTTTCTGCTACAGGCTTGAAAAAATACAAAACATGACGAATTATAAAAATATTAAAATGCATATCATACTAATTGCATGTTTTTGATTTTCTAAAAAATTGCATGTGTATAAATCAAATTTGCTTTGGCCTGTTTACGGAAAATTTTGGCCTATACTAAAAAATGAACTTTGAAATTTTTTACAGTGTTAAATGAAACACTTGCTGAAATGTTTGACATGGATTACAATGGAACACTTTGTACTTGTTGTTCTGCTCATGCAGAGGTTTTGAAACATTACAATATTTTTCTAGTACTGTGTTCAAAATAAATATGTAATTATCAGACAGCACATATTTTTATCAATTCACAAGCAGTTGGAGCGCTGGACCTAACTACCGTGTTTCCCCAGATAACAAGTTTAATAGAGATAGAATAGAAAGTATCATGCATAAAACACCATGCACCATGCTACATAAAATATTGATACGATTTGTACTACATCACATAAAGGTTTCTTATGACGTACTATCTTATATAATCACAAAATACCAAGTTTTAGAATCGTCTCAAAATGGGCCCTCTGCTTACCGAGAAAGCCATGGAGGGTATAGTCCTAGGGGAGCCTGGGGGAAGGCCTTCACAGGATATTTCAGTAGAAGAGAAGGAGGGGGTACAGATCATGTAAGTTTGAGAACCTCTGTTTGTTCTAAAAGAAGGCAAATTGAAAATAAATGTGAGCACCAATGCAAACATGCATAAAAATAATAGCATTATATGTGAATATACAAGCTTGAAGCAAAGCAAGATGTACACACTAACTAGCAAAAATAATAGCAAAAAAATAAGAAGCACATAGTTCAAAATGACATTATTCCATCCATGGGGGAAAAATTTATAGGATTAACTCTCTGATTAGAAAGTTTTGAAGATTTTTTCCTGGGAAAATTTGCTTACAAGGTCACACGAATTCACTCATATCTATACATAGCTTTTCCTGTTTTAACTCATTATAGTCTCAATTCAACTTTGTCGATCATCCATAACGTCGATCAGAAATCTGTCTTTATTTCTGAGTGAGCGTGTGTGACTGACGTTCAATTTAATTTCTCTCTCTCTATGTCTTTGAAGTAGTGAAACCAGACCAGCTTATGTCACATTTTAAAGTTTAGATGGAATCACATTTTTGTAATTTTCAGAAACGTACAGCAAAACTAAAAACGGACATAAGGCACTACCAAAAATCAAAACGAAATAAGGTATAGCATTGAAACCCAGACAAAAAGATGTGCGGCCCTGTTCTATAATGACAGAATATTGAAAAAAGAGTCTCTTTTTGAAAAATGTGATTATTTCAGTTTTATAGCGGAGGTATGCTTATTTACAATTACGAGGCATATCCTTCCTAATGGTTGTGGTAACCGTAGCAGATGCATAAAGGACCGCCGCATACAGTGCAGGTATCTACATTCTGTCGTGAATCAACATCCTGGTTGCAAACCAAGCAAGATATGAAGGCGTGGTTTTGTTGCGCTTGCTGCTCAGGGATCATTTGAAGATGTTGCTCCAATTCTGAGAAAGCTTTGACCTGGAAATAAATTTTTATAGAAATGTCAAGAACGGATGGACGACCTCCATAGGATTTAATAATTATCTGTAATTTTTTCCCTGTGGAATTTTCACATCTTTCCTATTAAGAAAAGGGCACTTCCATAGTATGCGCAACACGATAGCGGATACCTGAATATAGTATGTATACCAGGTTAGGCTATAATTTTATTCCAATTTTCCTTATTTTAAGTCTATTATTTACTCTTGTAGTATTAGCACCTGAAATTAAGGCCTAACCTGATACACATACTACGTTCCGGTGTTCGACATCTTGGTTCACATACTATGGGAGTACCAAGAAAAGCGTATACATGTAATGACACATGTAATTAAAAGTTATTATCTCTCGAAAAGGTTTCATCAGGTTTGGCATTATTTATCAGTATTGACTAGAACTCCCATAGTTGTGTGTCAATCGGGTTACAGGTCATCTGATTCGATCACTAAGTTAAGTCTCACAGGCAGTTAGTTGATGAGTCTGAGTTATTTCATTTACAGCACTCGAGTCCATGACAAAATTGCTACATGAGTCATTGAGACTCAGATGACCCGACACATGTAGAGATCTTAATATGGATAATTACCGTACTTATTTGTTATTTAAAAAACGGGCGGCCTGGTGGGGGTGTTCAGAGAAAGCCTATCCGACATTGCTAAACTGGCCATCTTTTCATACTTGGGAAAAGTGGGTCAGTTACAGCTTAATGTTTTATTAAGAACATGCACCTGAAAAAACTATTCTCGACAGGGACTGGTAACCAAACTGAAAGCCGGGGTTCACCATATGATTAACTAATATTATAAGTTTTTCTCCCCAGCGGATGAATATGAAATCCTATCATCTCTTCAATATAGATCTACCGGTAGGATATCTTGTCCACACTCATTGCACCATTCCCAATCTTGTTCGTGCACGTTTAAGTTCTCACAATGATCACAAGGAAAACGTTTGTTCTCGAACGAGCAACCATTTTCATGCCAAACGAAGTTTTTTGGAGATCTGCGTATAATGTCTGTGAATGAATGTAGTTTTCCACAACTGTAATAAAAGAAAATCAAAGCATCACAAATCTCTAAATTATTTAACTGATCTCATTCTCTTGCCCAACCAGAATAGGATTCATATAATTATTCTGGGAGAAAAGAAAGCTGATGTGATGTTTTAATCATATGGTGAACCACGCCTCTTGTCCGGTTACCAGTCCGTGTCAGGTATGGAGTTAGTTAGTTATTTGTTTTCGAAAGCATGGACTGATAACCAGCAATGTGAATAAACTATCTTATTGATTAAAATAGTGTTTTCGAAATAAAGTTTCAAATTATTAGCAGAAATATGTCTAATTTTAGTTATGTCAAATCCGTGATGGATGCATTTATGAAGACTTTTTTTAAGAAAAAGACTGATAATACGCAACTCATATAAAATTTTGATGGACTTTTTAGGAGCCACTGCCATTAAGCAAAGTCCTAATGGTGAATCAGGCCCATGTACGCCCTATTCTGTTATTAATGAAATATGGTGGAATATATTTAATTTTACTTTTTGCGGAACAAAAATAGAATTCTTACTCTGTGCATATAATGCGTCCTGCCTGCCCGGGGTCTGGTTTAATGAATTTGAAACCAATCCTGGCCAATTGCTCCAAATGTAGAGAAGGACATCTCTTGTAGATTGGTATATCAAAGTATGTCTCGTACCTTTCCAGATAACCACGGATGCCTGTGTGAAAAATATAGCTATTATAATAAAGAAATTATGGGGAAGCTGATAAGATAGGGTATGGCCATCCACAAAGAACTATTGAAACTATATGGAATTGAAGTGGTACATTCACCCAAAAAGTAAAAAAAAAACTCCATGCAGATAGTACCCACGTAAATGCCATTAACTATTAAAACTATATGAGATTAATTTGGTGCATTCACTCAAAAAGTAAATAACTTATCTCTAAGAAAAGTAAATGGCGGCCACCTAATTGTCAAGAGCTACTGAACTATCTAAAATTAAGACGTTGTATTTACTCTAATAAAAAAGAGACCCATCTTTGAGCAAAGTTACAGGCAGACACTGAAATGCGAAGACTATATAGAATTTGTGGTGTGTTTTGCAACAATAAATACTAATTCACATATCATCAACTTTCCTCTCTTAAAGGATACACAAATTCTATTTCAACCTACCTGGTGCAGGAGCAATGTTGGGCTGGGCTACAGAACCATTATTTGGGTTCAGAGGGGGAGGGACCATATCTTTTTTTTCATTTCCTTTTTCTTGTATTTTCAAAATATCAGAGCTGATCGTTTTATCATCATTGCAGACCGTACATGCTTCCATGGAATCAGTTAAATCAGAGCTAAATAAATATTCAAATATAAATTTCGTTTATTAATTAATTATTTATAAATTATTCATTTATTATGGTTCGAAGTGAGCGTGTAAAATCACCTTGAAAGAAAAATATTTTTAGCTCTAGTGTTGGTGTGGGGTGGTGCATCAGGCGAGACGTTAGGAATATGCATTCCATCTCACCTCTGATTACCCTGGGTGGGTTCGAATCCTGTGGGGAATAATAATGTGCGAGAGGCAAGAGTGTAGCCAGGAATTTTCAAAAGGGGAATGAAAAACATAAGTTTTCAAGAGTCTTGAGGGTCCAAAAAGTCTTTCAATACACGAAGTATTGATATGTATGATACAGAAAAATGGAAGGGGGGGGGCTGGACTCCTCCCTGTTGTAAGCCAATTCACATAACCGTTGATCAATTTTGGCTTCCTCCATCATCAAGTCCATGCATCTGTAACAAAATAACTGGCTATCTAATCCCATACCTGACATGAACTAGTAACTCGAAAAGAGGCCGTGGTACGCCATATCGAGCAGCCATTACCTCAGCATTTATATCCCCAGGCTAAAAATGATATTTTGTCGTTATTCTTATGTTTGTTAACTAAATTTGACGGACTTCGATTGTTCTCATATTTCAAATTTAAAAAAGTATAAACAAGATATAAAATTCACATTCGAACCTGTCTTTGTTTGTAGGTATTTCGGCATCATGTTGATCAGGACCTGTATCAAGATCTAGAGAATCTGGAGGCTTTGGTTCAGTTTCGATCGGAGCTTCGTCACCCAGTAGGTTTCCCTTTTCGTCTGTCAAATACAAAAACATTTGAGGCTTCAGCAAGTGAACAGTGTTACTTACGAAAAGTTGGTTGAGCAAGCAATGATTTTAAAAATGAATTAAATGTTAAATACATTCAAGAATAGTTAGTTATATTTAGACCTAACTATGTTTGCATCGTACGTTAAAATCTCAGGTTCAAATCTGGGCGCTCTCGAAGTATGTGCACCAAGATGGCGCACAACCCTAACCGGATACACATTATATGTTCAGGTTGTGCGCCATTTTGATGCACATACTTTGGGAGCTCCTAAATCAGATGCCCCTCACCCAGGATGTGATAAACCGGGTATACAAGGCTAAACTGGGAAATTCCAATTTTATATTTGTATAACAACAGTATACAAAGCACATTCTAAGTGTTTTAAGGGTATTACTGCACGCTAACATACATTGTTTGCAATGTTTTGTCTGACCAAAGTCTTCACAATACCCAATTCGACTGCGCTTTGAATGGTAATCTTTACTCTTGTCATAACATATTTTTCTGTCTTTCAGTCCCTGCTGGTCAAGCGTACCGTTGTTATTCACAAATACACATTTGTTAACATATATATAGCAAACCAATAAGCAGGTTGTAGATTTTTTGCTATATTTGTGTTAATGTGCAGCAAGACTCTTGAATCACTTAAGATAGTTATCTTTACTCTTGCTACAACATCCTTGCACTATATGCATACGAATCCGCCGGTACAAAATCATAAGGGAAGGATAAGTAGTTAGTCCCACAGAAACCAGATCATTAGCGCAAATTAGAATCTTTGCGAAATAGTCTACGTATTCTATCAATTTTTTCAAGTAACGTTTTTTGGGTATATTCGCTAAATCGTTATCTTTGCCCAAGTCAGAATAGAAAAACAGAATTCCAAAAAATTTATTTTCTGTCGACTGTAAAAATGTATGAAGGTAAATTCTAGAAATCTACAAATATGACTGAAACAATCACAACCTGAGAGTCTCACTGGAATTGCACTTCTGTTTTCCATCTTGATATTTCCGATATTATGATCTAAATTTCCTGCATTGAAGTCAGCATTGCCGAGCATGTTGGCAATGAAACCTGATGAGTTGTTGTACCATAAAAGGAAATTTGAAGATTAAGAATTGCCATATTTTGTTCCAAGAATTGGGAGTGATGGCCTAGCTCAATGATGCCCAACCCAGGGCCCTGGGTGCCCAAAGGGACAACAAAGCAGTTGTAGGGGGCTACAATATTAGGCACAAAACTATTTGGGAACCCCTGGCCCAGATATTAAAGCAATCAATTTAGCTGTTGTTGATTGTTGTAAACTGCTTGTTTGAGAAAGTCTGATTTTGGTCAGATGCAATGTGACAGAAATCCATTTGTGTTAGTGTGCAAGCAGGACTCTTGAATAACTTGCCGTGTTGGCATTATTGGTTATAAATTTTTCATAAAAAAAACTTGATTACCTCTTGGGGGAATAACTCCAGCACCATACAGACGGCCCGCATTTCCATTGTTAGCACTCGGGCCAATATTTTCATTTTCACCAACTACATCTGGAATATGAAATAAATAATAAATGAAATAAGTTTTTTTTGGGGTCGCCCTAGACCAGGGGTCACCAACGCGTTGCCCGCGGGCACCAAGTCGCCCGTGAAGACCTTACGAGTCGCCCGAAGGCCTGTTCCAAACTAAGCTTAACAACGGCGCTTATGAGTAAACTACATCAATTAATTTCTGTCATGCTATTCTTGTGTAAACCACACTTATATGGAAATCGGGAAGGGCACTATATTAATTATTGTAGCCATCAACCTGATTTTAATTTGATCTCAGTAATGTGACGGGTCAATTAACACTCTTGCAATTATGACATCACACTGATATCACTTACCACGAACCCACAGCGTAGTACGGGCAGAAAAAGCTCGCGATTCAAATCATACAGCAATTCTATTTTACGAGACCATTGTTTCGTTCATCCTATCTTTGTGAATCAACATTTACCGAGGATAGGATGGGATTTACATATTTATCCCGGGGGAGAAGATAGCCGATAAGACGGCTTAACCATATGGCGATTGGCGAACCAAGGCCTCTCGTCCGGTTACCATTTCATGCCGGGTATGGGATTAGTTAGTTATTTGTTTTCGTAAGCATGGACTTGATGGCGAAGGAAGCCATCCCAACGGCGGCAAGGGGTCCAGCAATCCTCTCGCACATAACTATCCTCGCATGGGATTCTAACCTGCGAACCTAACGCTTAGCACACTAACGATGGCCACACAGCCGCGACTTTTTAGAAGTATACATTGAATTGGTAGCCCGCGGCTTAATCTGTACCCAGAAAGTAGCACTCGGCCTCAAAAAGGTTGGTGACCCCTGCCCTAGACATACGAAATGTCAATGGTTGACCATGAGATCCTCGAAGAAAGATTCCGGTCCATCTAATTAATAGCTCTATACATATTGCTAGATATCAGTGACCGCTCATACAGGACCTTGTTCAGAGCAAACAGGCATAAACAAGCGCCATATAAAAATTCATTCAATAACAAATAGGAGAAGTCTGTGGAATCACTCCACGCCTCCAGGTTTAAAAAATTCAATCGCCTGATTAACAGAAATTTTGATTCGGAACTCCCTAAAAAATCAAATTTTAGAAATGAAAACTTTGGCTTATGCAAATCTTTGATAAACTGTTGAAAAGAATAGTCAATTTAATTTTTTGATATTTCTGTAGTAGATTTGGACTTTGGCCCAATCACAAGAAGTAGAAAAGATACGAACCATTTAATTCATCTCCATCCTGGGTGTTGTCATGTGATTCATCTTCATTGTCATATTCAGTCACAAGCAAAATAGTAGTTTCGCTGGCACGAGTTACATCGCCTGTCAAATCTTCTTGGATGGAATCTAAATTAAATAATATTTTTATATATGTAAATAAAAAAACATTTTTTATATACAAGCTTTCATGATTTGTAACGAGTTGCCATTTTTGATCTATCCTTCCAAAAATAGGAATACCTCACTTATTATCAGTGATTTCCCTACATCCCCCTTATAGTGGGTGAACACTCCCCCTAACAATGTATATTTTTCGGTGAAAAAAAACACTGACAGATGTTAGTCATAAACTTCTGATTACCCTGCATGATTTTGCAGGTCTGAATCCAGGAGGAGATAATTATTTGCGAGCGTATTGCTGAATTTCTCACTATCTTAGTGTAGTTCAGGTAACTGCTGGCCAGTTACGGCTTGTTCCAGCATCAAGTCCATGCATATGATTCAAAAATCTGATATCTGTTCCAATACCAGAAATGGACCTTGCGACCGATTAAATCATATAATTAAGTCTTATCGGCTCACCCCGTATGATATCATCCATTGCCAAATAACCATTCCAAAGTTACCATCCGGCTTATTAAAATGCTACAAATATTTTTCACCTGGTTCATTCAGTTTCTCATCTTGTTCCTTTAGAGCCACTGTTTCAGTCTTCTCTGCAGGATTTGAGCTATAGAATGGCTTGATGGTCGTATTTTCATGATTATAACTGGCTAAAAAAAATGAAAACATATTTGTTTCTACTTTAACTTCTACATTTATGACTACTGTATCATTTTTTTGAAAACTGATACCAAATTTCATTCAATGAAGTTTTCTACATGCACACAATAACATACGTTTACACAAGCAAAATTTAAGTTGGACATTGCTGGGTAAAAGTTCAGAGTCAGGTTACAGGTCATTCATCTCCCAAGTAAGTTTCTCAAGTCAATTCGATAACTTTACGGTTTTAATTATAAAATTTTTTATTTATCCCTGGGAGAAGAAAGTCGATAATATGACCTCATCACATGGGGAAAGATTGCGTGTCATTCATTTCTATGCAATGACCATTTCGATTTAATCTGAATTGACTATGATTTGTTTGATTCTGTAACCATAATGCATTTTTTTTTTCATTTTTATTAAGCCGGTGCATAAAATAATGAACGGAAATGGGCCAAAAGCAAAACTAGTTATTTTTTATAAATGAGCAGTGGGCCACAAGTGTTAAGAGTCCTTGAAAGCGGCAATCTATCATGAAAGTTTGGGAATCAGTGAAAAATAAAGATTTGAGTTTTGTTTAAGGCATTTTTGTCTTCACAGTTTGGTTCACGAGTTCGGCAAATACCCTGTACAGTTCAATATTTTATTATTCAAACCCAAACCTTTGTCTTGATCAACAATTACTGTGGCTCTATTCAGTCTCCCAGTGTCTCGCATATCTATCCACGGAATCCGTTTTATAGCGCAATTTCCCATTCGCACCGTATTTTTGCTTGTTCGAGGTGCAGCAATTTGACGCCATTGAAATCTCAGAGTATCGTTTAATTCCTGAGAGCTGTAAAAATAGAAAACCGATCAAACAACTAGACTGGTTTTAAAAATTCGAACCGTTTGTATTCACTTCTTCTTTATCGAACTGCAAAATCTAGACATTATCAAAAATATTTTTTAGAATGTAAACCAATATTAAGTTATTTGGTTCGATAGTTCATGTGATAATTTATATCAATGGATGTAATGCCCTAGCCCAGTGTGGTTCCCACCATTTTATGCCTCATGGCCCCCTTTCGTGAGTTTTTAGCAGCCATGGCCCCTCCTGTTTATCATTCCAGTGGTATTTGCAGTGTCATTTTGATTGGTATATTCTAAAACCCATTATGTTACACCCTGTGAAATAACTTTATCAAGCATGGAACTAGAAAGAACGGGGTGTTTTCTTGTGCAGAGAAAAGTAAATTCAGTTCTGCGGCTAGCATTGTGCCCGCCGCCCCACCCCCCTTGCCAGCTACCTCAATCAAGGTTGAGTAATGAGCATGGATACGCATTGAAAGGTAGTGATATCTGCTTTTATTTGAATCATTATATTCACTGGTTCCCAATTGGGGGCCCGTGGCCCACAGAGCAGTTGGAGAGGGACCGACATGCCAGGCGCAAAACTGATTTTGTTTTTTATTCTACTAGAAAACCACCTGTTCGTCGTAGTTTCATTGCTTGATAAGGTTGTGTCACATGGGATTTACCATTTATTGAGCATGAATTTTTTGAACATAGTTGGACTTTGAATCTACCAAAGAAACACTATGAATACATCTGGAAAGATGAACAAGGGGCCATGAGTGCTAAAAGCCTACGGAAGGGGGCCATGGGATATAAAAGGTTGGGAAACACTGAATATAAATCACTTAATTCCAATAAGCCTCGCCTAATTGGAAGCCTCTCATTCTCAAGAGCCATTTCCTCTTTTCTAGTTTCAACTTCTGTATTTCCCATTCGACTCAATTCAAGGTCTCCACCAACAAGATCTTAAAATCAACATATTTATAAACTTGTCAGAAAAACTCAAGTTTTCAAATTTTTACGGATAGCTTGTTGTAACCTTGATTCAGGGGTTTAATTGATTGAAGATACCAAGTCATTATAAAATAATTTGCGATATGGAGTATGAAAATTCCATTGAATTGTGTCATATTTAACAGATAGCTGGAGTAAGCATATACAAAAAGGATTGTATTGGGCTAAGATAAATATAAAAAATGAAGATAATAATCCAAGACAGTGGTTCTCAAACGGCGGGGCATAGACATTTTTTTTAGGGGGGGTGAAGTTAATTAAAAACAATAAGAAAAATGTTAGATTTGATAATCATTTTGGATATTTACACTTTCTTATTAGAAATTGCGATTCCAAACATCTGTTATTTGTAGCTTATAGTTGAGCTAGTTATTTTTAAGGTGGGGGCGCTGGACTTGAGATGAATTCAAAAAAGGGGTGACTTGAAAAATTGAGAACCACTGATTTAATAGAAAGCATGCAGGATCTAAGGGTAACTTTGTGTTTTGCAGTTTAGGTTTTCTTCCCTCAATAAAATAAATTCCTTGAATATACCTGGCTTCTTTTTCTGGTCTGGATTTAACCCATTGTCGCTAAGGTTACCGGTTGCCTTTTCCAATCTATTTTCTTTCTGTAGAACTGAATTTTCAGTTTCCGGCCGCGATAAACCTACATCAGTCGAAGCTGATTCCTTTTTCCCATCCTCATTGCGATTTTCGGCAGCTTAAAAAATGTAAACGGAAATTATTACTCTCTACAGATGAGGCCATTTAAATGGAAACCATAATATTGACATACAGGGTGTCCATAGTCCTTTTACAATTTCAATTTTGTTATGAAGTCATTCCTCGATATATCTCAACCAGATTTGTTTTATATTTTTATCAGTGTTTATTTGAGTTTTTATTTCAACAAACTACACGTATTATCGGCGCTCCAGAAGCCTGTGTACCAATATGAGGTAACTAAAACTAATTTTGTTTGCCTACTTTATATCAAGTTGTGTAAAGCGACTGAAACCTGTGGGCAGGGGGCATATTCACTTGGCTAACACAGACAGTCCCGAACTCATAATTGAACTAAAATCAGGATAAAATTATGGCTTAACCTTAACCCAGTACACATACTACAGGGAATACCAAATTCGCTTTGAAATTTTCAAATTTTTTTACTGTCCTACTTTTAACTTTCTATATGATAGCCTTCTACTCAGACTGGTGCTTAAATGACAATTCGTACAATTACTATGCAATGCCTTTGCATTGAATGTAAAATTCACAAACCATGTAAAAGCAAATCATCTTGAGAACTTCCACAGTCCAACAATTCCGCAGGTTGGCGAGAGACAGATTTTTCCATATCCTCTGATAACCCATCACGAGAATACGTAACAGGCCCTGTAATACATAAATGAAATCACAAATCAATATAAATACAGCAAATATTAGAAGAGAAACATTTATATAACACATGTAACAGCGCTACCACCTGTGGCTCAAATTGAAAAGACTTAATTAAAAAGGTGGACTTTGTGCTGTGGTGTTAGCCAAACTAACTCACTGAAACAAAATATTGATAGAGACTAAGGCCTAATATTGATCTCAATACACAAACTGACATAGCTTTGTAGAATACTGCACCAAGCTTCATCATGCTGTGTATATTTCTCAAGTGTGGTTGGTCAAAAAGGTTGTGAGTCCTTAATTAAATATAGTTTTATGTCAGCAACAGGCACAAAAGCTATATGGATCTATACTGCAAAGATGGCTACCATATATATACAAGCCATAAGACTCGAGCACTTCAAGTCAGCTAGGTCTGTCTGAAAATGTTGGGTTGACAAATTCCCAAAATATGGACCATTACCCCTTAATCTTGAATCATCCGGTGGAATGCTGATGACATAGGTGTTGAACACTTTAAGATTCTTGGTATCGGCAGATGATTCATCTTCAGAAACTAGATGTGCTGTGTTGAGATCACTCTCTGGATTTGAACAATCTTTGATTTCTTTATTTTGAGAAGACATTAGTTGAGGCAAAAATATTTGTTAGAATCTAATGAGATTGTCTGTGAAAAAGAATTGTGGATTACCGTAAGTGTGGTTGTCAAAAAATCTCCTTCAAACTTTCCTTAACAAGAAAAGAGCGTTATTTCCCGCTACTAACTTTCTATTCAATTCAAGAGTCTTGCTTCACACGAACACAAATATATTTTTGTAACGTTTCGTCTGGTCAAGGTCAGACTTCTTCAGACAAGCATTTTGCAACTATAACAAGAAAGCAATTGTATGCACATAAATATTGGTTTCAAATGTTGGGTATGTTCGGGATAGAAATAAATAAATAAAATTGGGACAGTGCCAGAACAATAGGATTTGATTTATATTCAATGAATATCCAACAGTCATCTGCTTCTTCAGTTCCTGTGTTGTGGAACTGAAAATATTATCGGACTTTTCGTAAACCTGACTCTCTCTACCAATTGAAAATATATTGAGATTTCCAAGTCAATCAATTCTGATTTCTTTGGCAATACGGCGCCAGTTACAGACTCATGTACCGATAACAAAGCTAGCGGCATTGCCACTCGGCAGGCTCGCAAATTAGCTTCATATTTTCTGACGCGTTTTGAATTTTATTCAAATTTTTTCTCGCAATCACGTCTGTTTCATGCGTTTTGTTTCGGCTTAGGAAACTGATTTACTTTGAAGTGATATTTACCCAAGTATTTCAATAAAAACTTTTGAAATGGTTGATTTTGAAGATGGTTCAAAAATATATGTTTTTTTAAACCAGTTTTGTTCAAGTTTCGAAGCCCTCGCATTATAAAATCCTATTTTTTTTAGCTAATTCGCCCTTTCAGTGAAACAGTCAGCCAAGTTATTACCAACGCAAACGCGCTCAAGCTCTACCAACTACGCAAAAAGATATCCGACGAAAAACCGTAAGTAAAAGCGAAGTGACGGCGCTCTGTGTTCTCTTTTTTCAGAAGACACAAACAGACGAAACTATTCTCGTACAAGATGCACCCTCACTTCCTCATTCATTTAAATTTGCCTGATATGGTCAATCGTCATTTGAGCGGCTCATTTGAGCGCTATCAGCTGGGTATAACTACTTATTCTTCTTTCATGCTTTTGCGCAACTAGAACTATATATAAAAGAGGACTCTACTATATGAGTAAAGATTTCTGTCACACACTAATGCAAATGTATTTCTGTAATGTTTTGTCTGGTCTGGACGAGGTCAGACTCGTTTAGACAAACGTATTACAACTATCATATTTATACTCTATCGAGTCTATTCTCATTATGCCGATAAAGTGCAATGTATTACCGAAAGGCTTTTTCTTTTCAAGTCAAGTTTATTTTTTCCGACCAGTAAGATCAACAACCATCGAACACAAATTACGAGAAAATGGCAATTTACACAGATTTACTGGGGAAGGGAAGTCGCGGGGAACCAAAGCTGGTTATGGAGCAGCGATACCGAGGTTCAAATATGCAATTTAAGGAAAATTGAAATTTTAGATGCTTTTTTATGCTTATAGACTACATGAAAAGGATGATAACTAATAGGCCAAGAAGTCTTTTAAGTTTAGATACTAGGGGATACACACAACTCCGATACAAATTGAACTCCCCACACAATAAATGAATAAACCGAAATATACAGCTCACTATTTACTGCTCGTTATTCATTTTTATAAAGAATCACTTTTACAAAGTTTTTAAAGGCATATGTTATATAAAAATGATAAAATAGAAATAAAATTTAACCTAAAGGTCAACCTAAAATCAACCTAAAGAAAAACGAATCGAAGAAGAAATGACTAAACAGGCATTTTATTCGTAATTTCATCTGACCTTCAAATTTTCTGCTTTTTTCGTATTTGCGGTACTTGTACACACAAGACGGCGTATGAGGTCTGTCGTCGTTCAAAATATATTTAAATTTGACTGCGTTACGCCCAACCTGCGCTGAGATAAACAAAATACTGAAGTATGTAACTAAGAGATTGACTGGTTAACCAGATATCATCAGACATATCAGACTCGGGTATGCAACTGTGGCCTTAACAGTTGTGATTTTCACCTTCAAAATGGGGCGAGAAAACGATAAGACGACTTAATCATATGACGTACCGGTTTTCAGTCCTTGTCGGGTATGGAATCATTTAACCAGTTATTTGTTTCAGATGCAGAATAATATATAAGTCCTGACACGTCGCTTTGCAGTCAAATGCACATTTATGGTAACCGACTGACTGGTAACCGAGCGAGAGGTCGTAGTTAATCGTATTGTTGGCTTTTCTCTCCCCCTCCATAGATAAAAAACAAAATCCTTTTCCATATGAAGGCCCGTACAATAGGATTTAAAAAAAAGGTTTTGCTAATTGCAGCAGTAATGTTCTGCAGACAATCGTTGACAGCGGGTTAATATTTTAGCTCGAAATAGCTCTTAGAGAAACCCGGTGCAGTCCCAGCCGGTGATGGGTCTTGAAAAATATAGGACCGTAAAAAGCGCTTGCTTTGGTCCGTGTGCCCGACAACACCACTTGTGCGTCATAAAAATGCGGCATTTTCATTGGCTGTCGATGAGAAATTGGTGAGCTCATCCCTCTGTCAAATATGGCCGCTCGTAAATAAGTTTTTTTGGCGCGGAATAACGACAACTAAGCGTGTAAGTAACATAACGATTTTCAAATCATGTTGACGACGTAAAACAAAGAAATTTGTTTCGTAGTTACGTAATACTTTATTAAATTAGTTTAAATCATCGAGAATTAAATCGTGTTCAGTTGCTACGTGACATTACGAAATCCAAGATGGCGCACAACCTGAACCCTAACCTGGTACACATATTATGTTCAGGTTGTTTCATCTTGGTGCGCGTACTTCGTTAAATTTAGTCAATGCCATCTCAAAAAGACGTTGTTCAAAGTTTAATAGATTCAAATGAAATTTAAACTGAAATCTTCCCTCAAGTTATTTGTACAGATCACATAAATTAATTTTTCGAAGTGTCGTTGCACTCTCTCGGCGCAAATTGCGAAGGAAAGTTCGCGCCTCGTATGTTTAGCTTCAATTATACTTTTAAAATTCTTAACCCGTTACGAATTGGTGGATACCCTGGTAACCGGGCGAGAGGTCGTTTTGATCTTATTCTCAGTTCTTTGTCCCTCCGTGGACGAGAATATTCCTTAATAACAAAAAGTCAGTGCACATTATTTTTTTAAGAAATGCTTTGTGAATTGCAGCACATGGAACTGGTTAATATTTAGCTCGAAATAGCTTTCAGAGAAACCCGGTGAAGTCCCAGTAGGTTATGGGTGTTGAAAAATATAGGACCGTGAAAAGCGCTTCGTTCGTACGTATGCCCGTAACACCACTTGAGTGTCATAAAAATACGGCATTTTCATTGGCTGTCTATACGAAATTGGTGTGCTTATCCCTCTGTCAAAAATGGCCGCTCGTAAAAGATTTTTTTGGCACGGAATAACGACAACCAAACGTGTGGATGGCATAATGGTCTTCCAATCATGTTATGGCGTAACAAACAAAGAAATTTCAATATTTTTTCGCAGTCACGTGACATTCTTCGAGAATATATATACAAAGATAAATTGTCGTGATAAAATAAATTACTGATAAAACTGATGCTGATGAATTACAAAAATATTTTAGCAGAAGTCGTTGTCTTTAAGGCCATTAATTTTAATTGAAAATGACAAATAAAATGTACACAATTTTAGCATAATACTTAATGATAAATTCAATCTTGATTCTCATCTTGACTCTCGAATCTATTAAATTTGAAATAGGATAATTAAAACGCCTTGCTCCGAGCATGATTTATTTATACCACCAAGTCACGTAGACGGCAACACAAGAGCATCTATCATTCCACCCAGAGAGGCAATGTCATGAACGAGGTCCTAATTCAAATTCGATAATTCAGCCAAAAATAACGACAAACGACAAAGGCACGCAGTCAGTTCAAGCAAATCGAAAGGGTTCGCGGTGATTTACCCGAGTATAAGTACTAAAACCATTTCCCTTGTTACTTCATAATATTTACTAAAAGCGCTAGAAACTTGATATGCCCTTTATTATGTTGACAATACACTTAGATATATTGACATGCACTGATCACGCGCTTCGGACGTGATAATATGAGTCCCTCAACACGTTACCGGGTGATTCCCCTGGTATGGAAAAGCTAGTCAGACAGAAGATACGCGTACGTGAGAAATTGTGCTGGTATTGCCGACCAAGCTACAAGAATAAATCTGTACAGAACCGGTTTAAACCAGTTAAGACTAACTGCAGTGTATGAAATTGCCATCGACAAGGGTGTTAAATAAACCCCGCCAGTATAAACACTGTTAAATTTAGAAAGAATTACTGAAATGAGGGGCTTATGTCCAGAATTCTCCCTTTTTATTGTGTTTATTATGGAACTTACAAAATAAACTATCTATTTATTCATGTTGACTATACCTCAATAAAATTTCAGAACAACCAACTTAAATATACGTTGTAGGAAAAATATACAGGGATCCAGAGATTCTTAAAATTTTTTAAATTGCAAAGAGACTTTATCGACACCATATATTGTTTGTTCCTCATTTCCGAGAATGTATGTCGCAACTTTAATTTATTCGAATATACGTGTCCTTAGAGTTCCCTTTACAATTTCAATTTTGTTATGAAGTCAGATCTCAATTTATCTTGACCAGGTTTGTTGTTTTTTAATCAGTAAATGTTCAAGTATTTTTACTTCAATTTTTACATCTGTGAGGGCCAAAACAATATACGGTATCGATACATTCCCTTTGCAATTTTGAAAAAATTTGAAGACTTTATGGACACCCTATATAAGCGGTATCGCAATCAACAACATGTTCCGTATTTTAGAAAATGTATGTCGCAACGTCAAATTCATTCAAATATTTAACTTTACCACTGGTTGAAAGCTCCGCTTCTTTCGATATATATCAGAAGTTCCGATTTGATACCTGAGTGACCCATATTTGTGGCAGCCCCC